CTCCACAGCAACGATTGTGAAAACGAGGCTGGGTAGTTAAAAATGAGTGAGAGCGAGGCTGGTGGCTCTTGCCACATTCCAATGTTCGACCATTTTCGTCCGCCGCGAAGGCATTTGACTTTCAACTTGCTACTGTCAAAGATAAATCCCATGAGTATTTTTTTTTTCTATGATTACTTGCACAAAGCAAAGAAAACTAACAAAATGCCCCTTGGTTAGTGAGTCGTTAGTGGGAGATGAAGGGTCCATGCGAAAAGATTAATTACACGACAAATTTGAAGGGACCATTGAAGACTCGTATATGGGCTACGCTATCTGGGGGATTTTTTTTTTTTTTCTGTTTTACTGTTGAAAAGTCTCCCCTAAAAACTGTGAACAAAACACGGTAGAGAAAAAGTTTTATGGATCAGTAGAAATAAGAAATAAAACGGCCAGATATTTTCTACTGGTTAGACCTATCTAGGGAAGGGAGTTGTGTATATTGTTTGAGATTTCATGAGGGGGTTTCAGAAAAAATTAAACTAAGCGGGTTATACTTGGGGGAAGGGTCTAAAAGTTACTATTTGCAAAAATTTTGACCAGAGAAATTGCAAATAAGTTCCACAAAACAGTTATAATATAGGATTTAGTTGTCCTGTTGGAATTGGTGGAGGAGATAGACTAATGAAAATTTTACAGGTGTTTGATTACTTGGAAAAAGCCAATAAAGTTTACTGTCATCTAATTAATTCAAACCAGGAACTCGCTTCCATTTGCACGTGCAAACTTTGGGCGTGATTTTTCTGATTTGCATTTTAATCTTGGGTTCCTCGTGCTAGAAGAACAAGAAGCGGTTTACTTCTTCAACGGTAGAAATTTTATTGGCGAAAGGACAAAACGACTGGAAAGTTATGATCATGATGGACCGAATTGGGGCACTTTACTGACAAGGAAGAACTTTCCCGAACCGCATGTACTCAGCAAACTGGGATTCAAAGAAAAGCGAGGTAAGAGTTCATGAAATGTGGAACCACTAATGCAAGGCGATAGAACGAAATTAAAACGCTATATGGATAGAGAAGTCGAGAAATATTGCAAAATATTGTTAAATTCATTTAGATTTAGTTTGAAAACTTTTCCATAGTGAACCGGCTTGTACAAGAAAAGTCTTGCTTTCCTTCAGTGGAGTTTCAGTTCAAGGCCTGACTGAGAGTCAGTATAAAGTCAAATTAGAAACGAGTACGGAAGATAGATTTTAAAGCTTTTCAACTAAGCATTTTGAAAAACAGAATACGAAACGGGGTAGCAATAGTGAAAAGATTTCTTCTAAATGTACTGGAGTAAAGCCAACAAAAACGAGAACGTCACTAAACAATTCAGCGTTTAAATAATGCAATTCATTGGAGGCCATTCCCCACAATAATCAACGCATTAATAATCAAATTTTGGCTTTTCTTTACTAAAACGTTATTTCCCTCGGCTTCCTCGCTATTTTAGATCCCTTAGAAATGCCTTTAAAAATTCCAAAGTATTTTTTGGAGCGTTCGATAGGCCAACGTTCTGTGGAGCACTATTACGCTTCACGGGAATTGATTTTGTTGTTAGATGAGTGGTATTTGATTATCCCCGTGTTATTTGTTCCCAATTTCAGGTACACAAGTACAGCTAAACGACCATCTCCGTTGATTTGACACAATAACATGAGTGGAAGATGTCACCCGTGAAATCAGGCTTGCGTCAAGGTAAGTTGTAGAAAACCTAGATACTTGTTGCAACTCAGGCTACGTTCAGAGACCCAACTGAGGACAGATTCTTAGCTGTGAAAGTTCGAAATCAAGTGCAACGGAACAGACCTAAGACATACCAGAAAACGTTCTCATAATTTCAATTTTTTTCTCACGAGTGAATTACGCTCAAATCGTCTATACTGATTTTACTGATTTACCTATTTTACCTATCCCAAATCTGCGA